CTCCTCCTCCTCCTCCTTCTCCTCATCCCCCTCCTCCTCCCCTCCTCCTCCTCCTCCTCCTCCTCTTCCTCCTCCTCCTCCTCCTCCTCCTCCTCCTCCCCTCCTCCTCCCACTCTCCTCCTCTCCTCCTCCTCCTCCTCCTCCTCCTCCTCCTCCTCCTCCTCCTCCTCCTCAGCAGCAGCAGCAGCAGCATCATTATCAGCAGCAGCATCATCACCAGCAGCATCATCAGCATCATCATCAGCATCATCAGCATTATCATCAGCAGCAGCATCATCAGCATCATCAGCAGCATCATCAGCAGCATCATCAGCATCATCAGCAGCAATATCAGCATCATCATAATCAGCAGCATTATCATCATCAGCATCAGGATCAGCATCGTCATCATCAGCAGCATAATCATAAGCATCATCATGATCATCATTATCATCAGCACAATCAGCATCAGCATCGTCGTCATCATCAGCATCATCATCAGCTTCATCATCATCCGCATCATCGTCATCATCATCATCACCATCATCACCCTCTTCATCTTCCTCTTCCTCATCCTGCTCGTCCTCCTGTTCCTCCGCCCCCCTCCCCCTCCCCCTCTCCCTCCTCTTCCTCCTCCTCCTCCTCCTCCTCCTCCTCCTCCTCCTCCTCCTCGTGCTCCTGCCCCTGCTCCTGCTCCTGCTGCTGCTCCTGCTCCTCCTCCTCCGATGAATCCTCCATCCTCTCCATCTTAGGGGTATGACGTCCGACCCAGACCTTTGTTCCACTGCGTGCTCCTCCACATCCCTGATCAGGGCAACTCGTCTGGGTATCGTTTCTGAATGGGCTGATGGGGTTACGCGAAGCGTCTAGAACAGTCGCTCACCTTCCTGATTACGCGCAAGAAAGATGTAAGTAAGTCCCTGTTCAAAACGGGGCCCTCGCCAAAGTGGCAAGCCAAACTGCGCTTGCATTTCCAGCAGGGCGCTTTTCTGAAATGAACAGAATAGCTTCTGGGGACGTGTGGGGAGGAGACATGGCACGGGAGATTGTGTTGCATCATTGCTGACGCATCTTGAGTTTACTCGAGTCCTCCTTCTCCTCCACCTGACTCTCCTCCCCCCTCCTCCTCCACCTCCTCCTCCCTCGTCCCCCTCCTCATCCTTCTCCCTATCCACCCCTGCTCCTGTGAATCCCCCATCCTAACAATCCGCCTCCTGCTCGTCATTCCTCCTCCTCCTCCTCCTCCTCCTCCTCCTCCTCCTCCTTCGTCCTTCCTCCTCCTCCTCGTCCTCCCTCTCCCCCTCCCCCCCTCCCCCTCCCCCTCCCCCTCCCCCCCCTCCCCCTCCCCCTCCTCCTCCCCCTCCCCCTCCCTCCTCCTCCTCCTCCTCCTCCTCCGCCTCCTCCTCCTCCTCCTCCCCCTTCCTCCTCCTCCTCCCTCTCCCCTCCCCCTTCCCTTCCTCCTCCCGCACAGTCTCCGGAGCTCTCCCAGGACCTCCGAGGGCCTCGCGAACCCTCGCCCGCGGCTGACGGGCGGCCGCCAGGCCCTCTCGGATGGAGTGACAGGGAGGTTCCGCGGGAGGGGCCCGGCGCGCGCGCGCGCGCCCTCGAGCCGCTGCGGGGATATCGAGGGCGGCGGCGGAGGCTCGGCCACGTGCCGACCTCGTCGTCGTGAGGGGGGAGGGAGGGAGGAGAGAGGAGAGAGGAGAGAGAGAGAGGAGCAGGGCCAGGAGGAGGGAGGAGAGAGGAGGAGGGCCAGGAGGAGGGAGGGGAGAGAGAGAGGAGCGGGGCCAGCCTGGAGAGGGGCGAGGGGGCAGGGCGAGGGGAGGGAGGGGGGGGGCAGGGGGGAGGGAGAGGGAGAGGAGGGGGGCAGGAGCGGGCACGGCCTGCGCGGAGGAGAGGGAGGGGCAGGGCCCCCTCGCAGAGTGCAGTCCGCACTGCCAGGAGAAAGAGAGAGAGAGAGAGCTGGTGGCGCGCACAGGGGGGCAGCTCCTCCTCCTCCTCCTCCTCCTCCTCCTCTCCCTCCATCCTCCTCCTCCTCCTCCTCCTCCTCCTCCTCCTCCTCCTCCTCCTCCTCCTCCTCCGCCTCCGCCTTCGCCTCCTCCTCCTCCTCCTCCTCCTCCGCCTCTGCCTCCTGCTCCTCCTCCTCCTCCTCCTCCGCCTCCTCCTCCGACGGCGACGGCGACGACGCCGACGACGACGACGACGACGATGACGACGGCCGTGGGGGCCCGTGGAGGGCCCCGCGAGGCCGGGAGAGGCAGCAGCAACAGACTCTGGACCCGCTCCCCTGGAGGCCTCCTATCGGCGGCGGGCCCTGGAGTTAGGTCGGGCATGTCCTCCTGCAGGAATATTTTGGACGAAGAATTGAATTATCCCAGTGCGACCCTGCCTAGGAGTTGGAGCCTCTAGGAAAGCAACACTAGCTCGGCATCTACCGCACATTGCTTTTGCTTTGCCTTTCCTTTGCTTTTGCTTGTGCGTTGTTTTGCTTGGGTTGCTCGTGTTTTGCTTTGCTGTCGCTGCTGTTGTTTTGCCTTTGCTTTGCTGCTATGATATGATATGTTCTGCTCTGCTATGCTATGCTATGCTATGTTATGTTATGCTGCGCTGTGCTATGCTGTGCTGTGCTGTGCTGCGCTATGCTATGATATGCTATGCTGAGCTATGCTATGATATGCTGGGCTATGCTATGATATGCTGTGCTACGCTATGCTATGCTACGCTATGATATGCTATGCTGTGCTCTGCTATGCTAAAGCTCAGCGAAGCTAAGATGAAGGAAGGTAAGCTAAGCTATGATAAACCTGAGCTAAGATGAAACTAATCTAAGCTAATATGAAATAAGCTAAGCTACGATGAGATAAGCAACGCTAAGCTAAGGGGATGTAGCTGGGGAACCGCGGGGCGGATACTGGGGGAACCGCCCGGGGCGCTTTCCACTGCCCGGCCCCTTTAAACCCAGAGAGTAAGAACCCTTCTAGGCAGAGCCTAGGTAGGGAAAACACTCCAAAAATAGCCCAAAGCAATCCAAGTATTCAAATTATCCCAGTGCGACCCTACCTAGGAGTTGGAGCCCCTAGGAAAGCAGCATTAGTAGTAACAGTAAAGCTAAGCTAAAGCTAAGAAAAAGCTAAGCTAAAGCTAAGCTAAAGCTAAGCTAAAGCTAAGCTAAGGCTAAGCTAAGGCTAAGCTAAAGCTCAGCTAAAGCTAAGCTAAAGCTAAGCTAAAGTTAAGCTAAAGCTAAGCTAAAGCTAAGCTAAAGCTAAGCTAGCTAAGCTAACGCTAAGCTAGAGCTAAGATGAAGCTAAGCTAAAGCTAAGCTAGAGCTAAGCTAAAGCTAAGCTAAAGCTAAGCTAAAGCTAAGCTGAAACCAAGCTAAAGCTAAGCTGAAGCTAAACTAGAGCTAAGCTAAAGCTAAGCTGAAGCTAAGCTGACGCTAAGCTGACGCTAAGCTAGAGCTAAGCTGAAGCTAAGCTGAAGCTAAGCTGAAGCTAAGCTAAAGCTGAGCTAAAGCTAAGCTAAAGCTAAGCTAAAGCTAAGCTACAGCTAAGCTAAAGCTAAGCTAGAGCTAAGCTAAGCTAGAGCTAAGCTGAAGCTAAGCTAATGCTAAGCTAGAGCTAAGCTAAAGCTAAGCTGAAGCTAAGCTGAAGCTAAGCTAGAGCTAAGCTAAAGCTAAGCTAGAGCTAAGCTAAAGCTAAGCTGAAGCTAAGCTAGAGCTAAGCAAAGCTAAGCTATAGCTAAGCTGAAGCTAAGCGGAAGCTAAGCTAAAGCTAAGTTAAAGCTAAGCTGAAGCTAAGCTAAAGCTAAGCTAAAGCTAAGCTAAATCTAAGCTAAAACTAAGCTAAAGCTAAGCTCAAGCTAAGCTAAAGCTAAGCTGAAGCTAAGCTAAGCTGGGTGAACCCAGGGGGCGCGACTGGGGGAACCGCGGGGCGGGGACTGTGGGAACCGCCCGGGGCGCTTTCCATTGCCCGGCCCTTTAAGCTAACAGAGTAAGAACCCTTCTAGGCAGAGCCTAGGTAGGGAAAAATCGTCCCCAGACTATTTCCTAACTAGCTTTGAGTATTCCTCCTGCAGAGGGACAGGCCCAACTTAACCTTGCAGGCTTTCTGAGAGGGATCGAAAGTCCCCCAGCCTTCTGAGAAGTTGTCTTAAAGCCTTTCCCGAAGAACCCCCCTCAAAATAAAATTCTCAGCAGGCGCGAGGGTTTCTGAGAAATCCCGGCGCCTTCTGAGAAGGCCTTCTCCTTCTCACTTCCCCCCCCGCTCGCCGCCGATCCTAGCTGGGGTCCGAGTAAACGGGATCGGAGGATCGCGCCGCATCGGCGACGACGGCGATGCATCGGCGTCGTCGGCGTGGAGAGAATCGGGCTCCACATCGAGCTGCATGGGCGATGCATCGGCGATGCGGCACGATCCTCCGACCCCATCCAATCGGACCCCATTTGGGGGGCCTGGAATGTTGGAGGAGGTGCTCTACCGCGACCTTTCCCGGGGCCTCGAGGGAGCCTCTCTCACGAAGTGGCACTTCAGCCTGCGCGAGGCCGTGCTGGAAAGCCTCGTTGGAGGAGGTGTTCTACCGCGCCCTGTCCTGGGGCCTCAGGGCGACGAAATCTATACGGATCACTGCTCCCTGGCTGGGCCCATCCTGAACCCAGCAGCGGTGCATACGCCACGACTTCCTGGCTCGGCCATGAGGCCGACTGCGCAGCTCCTGGGTTCAAGGTGGGCATGGCCATGGAGCAGTGGATACGTGGCGAATTTCGGGAACCTGAACCCGAACACATGTTCATCTCTTGGGGACGCATCGTTCACTGCCGCCGCCTTCCGCCGAGCTGCCGCCAGCTTCCGCCAGCGGAGGCGGCCTCTTTGTACTTCCGCCGACCTTCCCGACGCGGCGGAAGAGATGGCAACTCCTTCCACCCTCGGAGGGGGCAAGGCCCTTGGTGGAACGCCTCCATGTATAGATTTCGTCGTCCGAACGCAGGAGGCCTAGATTCCCTCTGGACCCCTTGGGGATTTTTCATGGCCACCAGGCGACCGCAGCGGGCGCGGGCACGCCGACGCCTCACGGCTCGCCCGGCCGCGCGCGCGCGGGCGGGCGGAAGGCGGCGGCTGGCCGGGGCGTTGCCAGAAGTGTCCCTGTGCCGCGGCGGCTGGCCGTCATGACAACGACGACGGCGACGACGACGACGACGACGACGACGACGACGGCGGCGACGGCGACGGCTCCAGGACTGTCCGAAACGGATCCTGGGCGCAAAACTGCAACGGATGGATTTCGGGAGGGGTCCAGGACGCGATTCTGAACTGATTTGGCCTCGTCCCCCCTCCCGGCCGATTCCCTAGGGTCCCAACCAGTTGATCAGACCCCCTGGTCGCCTCCGAAGCCAGAGCATCCCGAACGAGGACCAGGGGGCCCCGGGGGCTCAAGAGTGGAGCGAAGAGCTGGGGACACCCGGTCAGCGATCAGAAACGGGCCTTGCGCGAGATGGCAAGTCGACCCTTCGGGGATGGACAGACCTCCCTTCAGCAAAACGTGGTTTAGTGAAAACGACCTGAGGCCCAAACCTGGCGGGCGCAAGCCTGGAAAATAACGGCCACGGCGCCCTCTCGAGAACCGAAAACGGACAATTCACTAATCGACGTGTCACTGTTGGGGGTTCTGTCCACCCCTCGACCCTACTAGAGGCCCCTTAGATCCTAGATGCGATCGGAGCAGATGGGGTCGGGGAACCGCGCCGCATCGGCGATGCATCGGCGATGCACCGGCGATGCCTCGTCGACGTCGGCGATGCATCGGCGACGGCACGTGAAGCAAAACCTTCTCCTCATCGAGCCGCCTCGGCGATGCATCGGCGACGCGGCGCGATCATCCGACCCCGTCTGCTCCGACCCCCTCTGGGAGGCCTGGACTTACGCCCCGCAGCATGCGCGGGCCGCGGGCGCGGCACTCTCCACTGGAAACGAGGGCGCTCACGCGCGACCTTCCGCGGGCAGCTCACGGCGAGGACGACCCCGTGGTTCTGCACCGCCCACCTGGGGTTAGGTCGGGCAGGTCCTCCGACAGGCGGATCCTGGAAGAACCATCAAAAAGAGTCAAACAAAAACTACAAAAGTGGTCAGAAGATGGTACAAACAAATCTTCCCCATACACTAAGTGTTGACTATGTTTGCAGATTCCTCCTGCAGAGGGACACGCCCGACTGAAACCTGGGGCCAGGGACACCTTCTTGGCACCCCCCGAGGCTGGGGGCACCACCGGCACCGCGGCCCGGAAGACGGCGCCTGGGCCCAGGCCCTCCGGGACCACCAGCTCGTGGCGGGACCCCAGGAAGTCCACCTGGCGGGCCACTTTCCACCACCGCTACCAGAATCAGGTAGGACAGGGGAGAGGGGAGGAGGAGGAGGTCCTCTACCTCCTCCTCCTCCTCCTCCTCCTCCTCCTCCTCCTCCTCCTCCTCCTCCTCCTCCTCCTCCTCCTCCTCCTCCTCCTCCTCTTCCTCCCTCTCCTACCTGTGGTGGTGGTGGTGGAGAATCGTCCCATCACCACCGGCAGCGCCGCCCCGGGCTGGGCGCCCTCCGGCACGCGGACGTCCACCTCCTGGGTCAGCGGCGGCGCGGCCGCCTGCTCTGGAAGAGGCCAAGGCGGCACGGGCACTGAGCTCCCGAAGGCCCCAGGACAGCCCGGACGTGCGATATCCTGATTTTTTCAGGAAGGCGCCCCTGGAAGTCCCGACCCTTTCCCAGGACCGGCTTTTCGTCCTGACTCGTTTTTTGGCGGTCCCGAGGCCCGGCGAGGGCCCCCAAGGGCCGAAGATAGTGGAAAACTTGCCGTCCTCATCTTCTTACGACGCTATCATGTCCTGGACACAAAACAGGGCGGAGGCTTCTGGCCCTGTCCGGCATGCGGGGGCCCCCGCAGGGCCCCGGGACTGCCAAGAAGCGGCTCGGGAGGAAGAGCAGGCCGTGGGGAAAGAGGGGTCGGGACTTCCCGGGACCCTGTACTTAGACGAGCGCGCTCCACTGCTCGCAAAGTATAGCTGCTCGCAAATGGCCTGGATCCGCCGCGGGGCATCTGCGATGAAGTACACAAAGGCAGGCATGTGCGTTTTCGGGCGTCTGCGAGCAGACACTCTGCGAGCAGTGCAGCGCGCTCGGTGAGCACTGGAGAGCAGGGACGTCGGACGCGTGGCTCCGCGCGGCGGTCTTGGGCCGGCGCTGCACCGCCCGCCGGGGCGGGCCCAACGCGCAGCTCCGAGGGCCCTGCGCGGGCCTCCGAGAGCCCGTGCTGCTGCCGGCGTGCCCTCTCCCGCATGCTCCCCGGGCGGCGGCGCGGGCGCGGACCTCCGCCGGCGCTCGGCCACGGCCCGGAACATCACCCGCAGGAAGCTCTCGTAGTCCTCCGACGCCGTCAGGGCGCTCAGGAAGCCGCCGAGGTCCACCGCGCGCAGGCCCCCGGAGCCCGGCAGCTCGGCCTCCGGGTCGAGAGCCTCGGAGGCCTCCTGTCGGCCACGCGCGAGGGTGACCCCATATGGGCAAGAGTGGCCTGTGGTGCGCGGCTGAACGGCGACGCGCGGTGGCCACACCCGGGCGCAAGCCGCTGCTACCGCTTCGCGTTGGGCGATCGGGGAACCCCTGTGGGCCCGCACCAAAGAGGTCACTCCGGCGAGAGGTCACTCTGACATCTAGTCGATCCTGGAGCGCCGTAATCCACTCGAGGAACTCCTCCCGCTCGACCTCCTGGCCCTCCAGCACGGCGCAAAACTGCCGCTCGAAGAGGTCCCTGTAGCCCTCGTGCAGTGCCGTCCACTCGAGCGGGTGCGACCCGTCGTAGCACAGCGCCGCAAAGGCCGGCGAGTTGGCGTCCACGTACTCCTCCACGTCGAGGACCGGGTGCGCCGAAGAGGGGGGGCCCAGGAAGCCAGGGGTCGTGAGACAGCGGGGCCGGAGGCACGTGCGCGGACGAAGGAGGGGGGGGCCGCGGGTGGCCTGGCCAAAGAAGAGGGGGCCACGACAAGTGGGAGATACGGCTGAGGGGAAAAACTGGGCAACATATATATATATATATATATATATATATATATATATATATACATACACGTTCTTGGGAGCCACCCGGCAGGACCCTCATGCGACCCCCGGCCGTCTCAAACAAGCGCTCCCTGCGCAACGGGGCCAGAAAGTCTTCAACCCAGCATCTCGAGCGCAATACTGGCCAATGGTAAGGAACGGGGGCGGAGGGGACAACATGGTTAGAGGCCTCCTAGATGGGGTCCGAGTAGATGGGGTCGGAGGATCGCGCAAGATCGGCGATGCACCCGCGATGCCTCGTCGACGTCGGCCATGCATCGGCGACGTCGACGTGAAGCAAATCGGGCTCCATACCGAGCCACATCGGCGATGCATCGGCGATGTGGCGCGATCCTCCGACCCCGTTTACTCGGAACCCATTCGAGGGACCTAGTTACAGTCCTTCAACCGTGCCATGGCTCCTGCCATGATGTCTGCACAACCCATGATGATGATGATGATGATGATGATGATGATGATGATGATGATGATGATAAGAATGATGATGGTGATGATGATGCTGCTGATGATGATGACGATGATGATGATTATGATTATGATTATGATTGTGGTTATGCTTATGATTGTGATGATGATGCTGATGATGATTATGACGATGCTGCTGATTTATGACGATGAAGATGGTAACGATGATGATGATGATGATGATGATGATGATGATGATGACGATGATGATGATGATGCTGAAAAAAAACATCATCCCTGGTCCTTAATCCCCTCGACGTCTGGTGCTCTCAGCCAACCCATAACTCGGACCTCTGGCGGCCGCTCGGGGGCGATCCGGGCGCCCCCGAAGAACTCTGGACGGGGCGCAGCCGCTGCATGAGACCCCGAGCCTCAGGTCGCGCGTGTCCTCCTGCAGGCGGATCTTGGACGAAACATTAAACCAATAAGCAACGAATGTCCGAAAACAGTCAAACATAGTCAAATAATCGTCCCCTGACTATCTTGGGGCTATGTTTGAATATTCCTCTTGTAGGGGGACACGCCCGACTTAACCCGAGCGGAGAGAAGAGAAACAGAGACCATGACCACGATGTCGCGGGATCTTGTCCGTGCTGATCTTGGTCATGGTCCATGTCAGCCGTGGCCGACTCGCGAGGACGATGCACGAGCTGACGCTGACCAGGATCGACGCTGACCAAGATCGGCACGACGCTTCCGCGTGCATTCTTGGTCGTGGTCCCCTGTGTCTTCCCCTCCGCCGAGGCCCGAGGCGCGAGGAGCTGGGCGGAACGCCCGAGAACCCGCCGGAAAGCCCAGGCGTTCTCACTTGGCGGCGCGCACAGGGGGGGTAGAGGGGGAGGGGGAAGGCTTCTTAGAAGGCGGCTGCTTCTTAGAAGGTGCTGGCCTTACAACTACAAACAAGGCCCGCGCCTTCTAAGAAGCAGGGGTGCTTCTAAGAAGCACTTGTCCCCTCCCCCCCCTTCTGCGTGTGGCCGACCCCTCTTGGACAACCCCGTGAAGAAGAAGCCGCACTCCTGGAAACCCCGCAGGAAGGTCGGCTACAGGCAAGCGTGGCCCCACGTGGGCCAGAGTGGCCTTTGGTGCGCGACTTTCGGGGAGCGCGGAAAGGCCAAGCCCGAGCAGGGAAGCCGCTGCTGTCGCATCGCATTCAGCAATCCGGTAGAAGAAGACGAAGAAGAAGAAGGAGAAACAAACATAATAAGAATAAGAAGAAGAAGAAGAAGAAGAAGAAGCAGAAGAAGAAACAAAAACGCCCTCAACAGAAATTTTTGGCGCTCCGCGCGGATTGCTTAGATCTGCGCCGAACCCCCCTCCCTGGCGAGCGGAGCGCGTCAAGGGCGGCGCCCCGGGGGGCCCAGCGCGGATCCAAGAGATCCGCGCGGAGCGCCCAAAGTTATGTTTATGGCGTTTTCTCGTCTTCGGGCTATCGCATCGCATTCAGCAGTCTAGGGTTATGTTGCTCCCATCGCACGTCAGGACCACATCCCAGAAATAATTTCGAGCACCCTGAAAAGTGTCGAAAGAGTGTCGAAACAGTGTCGGACGAGTGTGTCCCAACATGTGAAAACCCTCGAGTTTGGGTACTTTTTTCCTGGTGTTCGAAATTCTTTCTGGTGGTCAAGGCTAAAGTAGGTTGGAGCATCATAAATCTAGGGGCCCAGAGTGCCCGCACCAAAGGTCACTCTGGCGAAATCGGCGTCACCCCAACATACTAGTACTGTGTGTGCGTAGCCCCCCCAGGGGCGACGCGCGCACCGAGAAGTCGTATAGTATATGCGCCTTGGCGGTCACTCTTTGGCCACACCGCTCGGGAAACGATGATATTACAAGCTGGGTATACTATATGATCGGGTCGGACGCGCGCCTCCGAGGAGGACATACAGTACTGATATGTCTCTGGGGAGACCAACAGGTACCGATACCGCTACTCCCCAGACCTCGCCCGGGGTACGTTCTGACCAGAATTCCGAGGCGAATCCAGCGGTGGCAACGAGGGCCTCCGAGGAGGCACAAAAAGGGTAACAAACGGGCGAAGGGTAGAGGTATGGGTACACGTCGTTCATTTCTGATCGTGCTCACTTCTAATTGTGCTCGTTTCTAAGTGTTCCTGGCCCCCCGGTGGCCAGGAGGAGGCCCAGGATAGAACAATTAGAAATGAAAGGATCCTGGCCCCCAAAAAAAGTCAAAGAACTCTCGAAGAATGAGAAATGAACGATGCGTGTCTCTGTGTCCCCCGAGCGAAGGGCCACGCCTGCGCGTGGCCGAGAAGGGCTCCAGCCGGGAGCCGAGCACCTCGGCGAGGCCCCGCGCCTGCGGCACGGCCGCCAGGCGGTCCTCCATGGCTGTCGGCCTGCGGCGGCCCGAGGCGGGGGCGCTCGCCCGGGGGGCGGGGGGGGGGCGCCGCGGGAGGGAGGGGCCCAGGCCGTAGGTCGAGCATGTCCTCCTGCAGGCGGGTTTTCGACGACTATCGCTGGCACAAAATAAGTACATTATATATAAAGTGTGTATATCTTCTGCACATCTATATGTATGCATACGTACACTCATCTACATAAAAAAATATGTAGCTTACCACATACATGTATGTATATGTCCCTCGTGTCTCGGCAGGGTGCAGCGTCCAACGACTTACTGCACAGCAGGTTGATAAGTTGCAAGGAGCATCGCCCTCGCTGAACGGGCGCTCTCCGTAGCTGCAACAGGCTGAGACCACTTGGATGGGTCCAGCTTCGTATATATGTTGTACGTATGAAATGCTACGACAGTGCGCCCCTGTGCCAAGAGCTGTACTAACCCAAAGCAACACACACACACACACACACACACACACACACACACACAAAAAAAAAAATCATCCAAAAATGGACGACAAATCGTCCCCCGACTATGTTTTGCTATTTGGGGATACTCCTCCTGTAGAGGGACAGGCCCGACTTAGCCCAGACCTCCTCGCGCTGTGAACACTTCACGGATGCAGGTTTTTCGCGATGCTCGGCCTGTGGGGTCATGTTGCTCCCATCGTACTTAGAAGGACCAAATCCACCAAATCCCAAAAACAATCTCGAGCACCCAGGAAAGTATCGAAACGGTGTCGAACGAGCATCGCCTCCCAAGCCCGACACGTGGACACGGGAGAACCCTCCAATTCCCGTAGTTTTCTGTGCTCAAGATTATTGTTGGTGATCAAGGCTAAAATAGGTTCGAACATCATAACCTGTGGGGGCCCTTCCCGGCCCTCGGGACCGTGAAGAAACGATTCACAGGACGGAAAACCAGCTCCGGGGAATGGGTCCAGACCGCTTGGGGGTCCACGCCGTGAAAAGTTCATGACGTCGGGGGTCTGGGGAGGAGGCGGCGCGAGGATTCGATGGCAACTCACGGGAGCCTCCCATACTATCTTGTTGGCACCTGCGAGTCGACGCTGGAATTGACGCTACGTCGACGCTGGAATCGACGCTAAGTAGACGCCACTCGGCGCTAAACCAGCACTAAACCGGCGTTTCCCCATCGACTGCCAGACGCTGCTCGACGCTGGCGAACACCAAAGACGACTTGCGAGGGAACACAAGGCTCCCATGATTTGCAAGCGGCGGAGGATGAGGAGGAGGAGGAGGATATTTGGATTTCGGAGGAGGAGGAAGAGGAGGAGGCGGAGGATGAGGAGCAGGAGCAGGAGGAGGAGGAGGAGATTTGGATTTCGGCTTCGCTGTAACCTCAACTGCCAGAGGATTGCGGCACTCGGCTCGCTGCGGAAACGCGGTGCCGGGCCTCGGCAGGCGAAGCGCGGCAGCGTCCTTTGCAGCACGGGCGCCCAGCGAGGAGGAGCAGGAGAGGGAAGGAGGAGGGAGGAGAGGGAGGGAGAAGAGGGAGGAGGGAGGAGGAGAGGGAGCGAGGAGGGAAAGGGAGCGAGGAGAGAGGAGGAATGGGAGGAGAGGAGTGGAGGGAGGGAGGGCGGCGGAGAGGAGAGAGGGAGGGAGGGCGGAGAGGAAGTCGGCCGGTCGCACGTCCTCTGAGGAGCTCGTCTTGCAGCACGCCGCAGCCGGGGGAGCGCGACAGTAAATGTGCCGTCGCGGCCCAGAGGAATTTTTGGATTGCGCTCTGATTCGCCGAGGAGACGGTCAGCTTAGTGCGGCACCCACTAGCTGCTGCAACAGTGCGTACATGCAGCACGGGCGCCAAGGTTTGGTGAATCTCCCCGCCCCCGTCCTGTCCTACCACCCCCCCCCCTCGTCGTCTGAAGGCGCTCAGGGAGGGAGGAGGGAGGAAGGAGGGAGGAGAAAGGTGAAAGGCGGGAGAGGGCCGCCGAAGCGCCACCGCCGAGGTTCCCGCGGCTCGTAGCGCTTGGGCCATCCGCCCCATGTTCCTCACTTGGCTCCTGCCCCCGCTACATCCCTGCATCTGCCTCCTCTCTCCTCCTCCTCCTCCTCCTCCTCCTCCTCCTCCTTCTCATCATCATCATCACCATCATCATCATTAACAACATTAACAACATCATCATCATCATCATCATCATCATCAGCAGCAGCATCATCAGCAGCAGCATCATCGTCGTCACCATCATCATCATCAGCATCATCATCATCATCAGCATAGCCATCATCATCATGATCAGCATCATCATCCTCATCATCATCAGCATCATCAACATCATCATCATCATCATCATCATCATCATCATCATCATCATCATCATCATCATCATCATCATCATCATCATCATCATCATCATTATTAACTTATTATCATCATCATCATCTGATCATCATCATCCTCATCATCAGCAGCATCATCATCATCAGCATCATTCTCATGAAGCACAAGCGGCGCGGACCGGGCGGCCCCCCCATTTGGCTCCAACTGGTCATGCAGCCACTCTCGGCGTCTCATCGCGGCGTGCTTGTGGCAACCTGGAGATCCTGCAGCATTCACTGGTGTGGGTCTTGCTGTTCTCGATGGGTTGGCGAAATAAATTCATGCAGGCATTTTTTCTTCATTAGCTTCCTCCTCGGTGCTAGCCACGTGCGACTTTGTGTGTTACTTCGTCCACGTCGCTTTCGTGCTGACAGGGTGCAGACTGGGTCCTTTTGTATCTGAGTTTTCAAGCTTTCCTGTGCATCGATTTCGTGGTCCGTCCCAGGCTGCAGGAACAAGGGGGGGAGCCGCTGGCATTTACCCACCCGCCTGCGGTCTGGGCGTATTTCAGGCCAGCGGGAATTGCTGTCACGACCGTCGTGAAGGACATCCACCCCAGGTGCAAGGTCGACGGGGGGAGCCGTTGCATTTACCCACCCGCCTGCGGTCTGTGCATATTTCAGGCGAGCGGGTGTTGCTGTCACGATCGTCGTGGAGGACATCCGCCCCAAGTGCAGAGTCGATGGGGGGGCCGCTGGCATTGACCCACCCGCCTGCTACCTGGGCGCATTTCAAGCGTGGTGCTGGAATGGTGGCTCGTGGTATGGATTGGGAATGTGTGGGACCTTCTCCCCATCCCGTGTCCAGTGTCGCTCTCTCTGGCCTTGTACGTGTATGGTCGATGCGGTTGTTCGCACAGTGGCTTGGAAGAGGTCCAGAGGCCAATTCGTTTTCGTGTGCGTAGTACGGTTTTGGGAATTGGTATTGTGGGGCTGTCTGTGGAGGTGGCGATCTCCTTTAGGGGGTGGCCTGGTGACAGGTGATGCGTTGTCACATCATTGAATAAGGACCGCATCGAGCCGATTTCACCTCAGCTGAACGCTGTCAAGTTCTATGGCGTTGGACGTGTGCGTCTCCTACCATTCCCATCTACTTGGAGATGGTTAGTGGGTTGCTGTTCTGCTGCGGTGGATTCATTGACTTAGTCAGATGGTCATGCTCATGTTTATGCCCATACTCCTCCTCCTCCTCCTCCTCCTCATCATCATCATCATCAGCATCATCAACATCATCATCATCATCAGCATCATCACCATCATCGTCATAGTCATCATCATTAGCATCAGCATCAGCATCATCTGCATCATCATCATTATCCCCATTATCAGTCCCTCTCCTTCTCTCTCATCATTACCCCCATTATCAGTCCCTCTCCGTCTCTCTCTCTCGCTCTCTCTCTCTCTCTCTCTCTCTCTCTATTCCTCATCATTATTCCTTCCTCCTCGCCCTCTTCCTCCATCCTCAACTCCACCCCCCCAATCCTCCCTTCCCAAGTCCCCCATATTCCCCCCTCCTCCGCCTCCCCCTCCTAATCCTGCACCAAATCCACGTCGTCCGCTTCGTCTCTACTCCTCCGCGTCCTCACCCTCCTCATCCTCCTCATCAGCAGCCGCAGCGTCATCATAATAATCATCAGCATCAGCAGCATCATCATCAACATCATCACCATCAACCTCATCATCAGCATCATCATCGCCATCATCATCATCATCATCATCATCATCATCATCATCAGCAGCAGCATCATCATCAGCAGCAGCAGCAGCATCAGCATCAACATCAGCATCAGCATCATCAGCAGCAGCATCATCTCATCCACAACAACACCACAAAAATGTTGTTTCTCGTCCTCTCATTCACCCTCCTCATCGTCCCGTCCTCGTCCTCCACGTCCTCCTCCACTCTATCGTTCTCCTCCGTTTCAGTTCCTCTTCCTGGCAAAAAACTCCTCGACTTCGCACCGCTAGATTTGTCAGTAATGTGGGACAGGCGATTCGCCTAATCCTGACGCTTGAACCATCCAACAACGTCGGGTGTGACGGGCGGGTGATTGTCACAATCTGGGTCTCGCTTGGGCGCCGCGCACATTCGTCTCACGCAAACGCATGCAATAGATATCACGGTGGGGCAAATATGTGTTGAAAGGTCGCTCTCGCCTTGGCGCCGCGCAGATTCTGTTGATACGTTCCCAACAGATAGAAGCATGGAGGGCGAATCGGATTTAAAATATGGCTATGGCCTTGGCGCCGCGGACATCCGTCTAACACGTTCCAGCAGGGCTCGAGCTAAAAAGTGTTTTCCATGTTCGTTTTGTGTTCGTTGTCCTTCGTTCTGTCGTCGTTTCTGCCTTTGCTGCGAAACGAAATCAAAACGAAAACGATCCACGAAATCGCCCAAGCATAGTTTACCTCGAGCCCTGCGCTCCAACAACTAGACGGATGGAGGGCGGCTCATGTTCAAACTGTGGCTTCCGAGTCGGACTTGCTCCAAATAGCTCACAAAACAACCTAAACATGTGGAACCACCACGCAGGTGGAGGACGGTACAACCGTTGACGTAACATACGAGCTGAAAGAAGGCGGCTCCTTTGACAAACGGGACTCCCGTTGGACACTCTCTTGAAATTCATCACTGCCTCATCGCACTCCTTGTACCTCGCAGGGCGCGGGCCAGTTCCTTCTCAACGGGCTCGCGCCTGAATGACAGGTCCATGGGCCGCTCATCTCTCAAGGGGCGCCGCACACAGTGAAGAGAGATGCTTGCATGGACAAGGGACGCAAGACGCCACCATGTATGTCGAAACTAAATAGGGAACCGATGCCCTGTTTGGGCCAGGAAGCGCCTGGGTGCACGAACGGCGGTAGAGGCACAACCATGGAAGGACGTAAGCCAGGAACAGCGAACCCCCTGCGAACCGGAACTGTTCTTGAATCCAGTGTCACGACTGCAGTGCAGCATCGTTGATACATCCTGACTTCGAATATGTTCCTCCCGCCCCTCGGCCTCTCGGGCCGGGCGAAAGGGGGGGGGGTGAGAATCAGCTCACGTAGCTGATTTTCCCGGCGCCTCCCAGCGCCAGAGGCGGCTGTGTATCGAGGAATGGGCCCCTCGGTGGGGCCGAAACCGGCTGCAGGCAGCAGATTTCGTAGCCCCCCCTTTCCCAATCCCCCCCTTTCGCCCGAGGGGCACGTGCACGAAGGGGGAGGAGGAGGAGGAGGAGGAGGAGGAGGAGGAGGAGGAGGAGGAGGAGGAGGAGGAGGAGGAGGAGGAGGAAAAGAGGAGGAGGAGGAGGAGGAGGAGGAGCCCGAGGAAGGGTCCCTGGGCATCAAGGCGAAGTCCAACGTGTGGAGCCGAGCGGTCTCTTTTTCGCGGCGGCCCGGCAAGCGGTCGGCCGCCCCACCGCAGGGCTGCGGCACTACGGGGCCGCAGGCGGGGAGGATCGACAGGAGGAGGGGGAGGAGGACGACGACGACGAGGGGGAGCATGATGAGGACGAGGAGGAGGAGGAGGAGGAAGAGCAGGCACAAAGGGGGAGGAGGACGACGAAGACGAGGGGGAGCATGATGAGGACGAGGAGGAGGAGGAGGAGCAGGCACAAAGGAGGAGGACGACGACGACGACGACGAGGGAGAGCATGATGAGGACGAGGAGGAGGAGGAGGAGGAGCAGGCACAAAGGGGGAGGAGGACGACGACGACGAGGGGGAGCATGATGAGGACGAGGAGGATGAGGACGAGGAGGAGGAGGAGGAAGAGCAGGCACAAGAGAAATACTCCGACAAGGGAAACGACGGCGGAACGGGCGGCGACGACCGAGATGAGTGCGAATAATGGTGGAGGATGCAAGGCAGATGGTGGGGGATCGCGGAAAACTCGCCGGCCCAACGGACCAGAGGCGTGCTAAGATCTCCAGTAACTGGTTAACAATATTCTACTTCGCGCGCGCAGGGCGGCCCCTGGGGGTCTCCGAGCGAAAAGTACCCCGGCAAGGTCCCGGCAAGGTACCGGCAAGGTCCCCGCAGGGCTCGGTCAGAGATGCCAGACCGGGCAATTTCTCGACACCCCTCACAAGGATCGTGGCCTCCGAGGGGGGAGCCGCAATCGACTACCCCTCCTCCCGCCCCAAGAGGCCCCCAAGAGCCCCCCAAGAAGCCCTGGAGGCCCCCAAGACGCCGCCAAGGAGCCCCAAGAGACTCCCAAGAGGTCCCCAAGAGGCCCCCAAGAGGCCCTAAAGAGGGCTCCAGGGCCGGCGGAATGAGCGAAGCGATTGAATTAAAGAGAACCAAGAGGGGAAGACAATGCGGAAGGTGGAGAAGAGCATGAAGGACGAAGACGTTCGAGCCAAGTGTGGGCCGGGGCTGGGTGAAAGAAGAAAGAGCATCAGCAGGAGGAGGGGCGGATAAGGATTCCACTGGTTAGGTACAGCCCCCCCTTTTCGCGGGCGACCTTGGGGGAGCCAACGCAGTAGGATTGCCGTCCGAGCGCCACGCACAGGGCCGGAGCAGCGGCCGCACAGCGGGCAGAGAGGCTCCGTCACCCTTGGCGGACGGGACGGGCGGGGAGCGACACACGGCAGGATCGAACACAAAACGGGCAGGCAGGCCAGGAGGGCCTTCGAGCCCAGGCGGCCACGGCAGCTGGACTCTTACACGAGGTCAACAACATCACCCTTTGTCTGCAGGCCACCTTGCAGCTGCAAGTATGGCGCCATTGCCGTCCGAGCCCCACGCACACGTCCACAGCATCGGCGGCGCAGCTGGCGGAAGCTCCATCGGCCCTGGAGGCCGAACGCCGACAAGCACGGCACGCTTAAACCCCAAGGTCCCGCCCTCCAGTCCAGCTACGAGAGCTGACCGCCACGAGCCCACAATGCGTCATGTCATGCGGAAACGAGCCAATGGCCAAAAACTGATTCAAGTCGGCGGCCACGAGCGAATCATACGGCGGTCGAAGAGCGGCGGGGCGCGCCGAACACACACATCGACCAGGGGAAGAGAGAATGGCCAAAAACACGGCCATTCACGTTGCACGGTGGAATCGAAAGCTCTGGGCCCCTGGTTCAGCCTGGACGCGGGAAGCCAGAAAGGACAGGGCACTGGCCACACTCGCTGGCGCCAGCTGGGCCCACACCCGTGAGCGGCGCCGGGCTGACGATGGCAGGGTGGGAGGAGAAGGTCGCCGCTGCGACCGCTTGGACAAAAGTGGACGGCGATTCACAAAAAATGGAGGGGGACGACTAAACAAATAGTTTTAAGTCGGGCCTGTCCCCCTACAGGGGGATCTTGAACGAAAAACAAAAAATACCCCCAAAATGCACCAAAAAAAAATTAATGGTCAAAAAATAATCCCCAGACAACTCATGACTATTTGTGAATATTCCCCCTGTAGACGGACAGGCCCGACTCAAAAATAGTTTCGCCGGCCCCCTTGGCCCCCGCAACAGCGAGTCCTGGGGCTCGGCCCACGGAGGGCGGACCACTCAGGCTGGCCCGGCCCGTCCGGGAGGCCAGGGAGGCCCGAGGGCTGACAACTCGGAGCGGCGGGGGGCTGTTCGGACTGGTGGAAGGCACCCGTTGCCCTCCTCCTCCTCCTCTTCCTCCTCCTCCTCCTCCTCCTCCTCCTCCTCCTCCTCCTCCTCCTCCTCCTCCTCCTCCTCCTCCCCCTGGCGCGGGCGCCCTGCAGTCCTCACGGGTTACGGCCGACGGGCGCCGACGGCGGCGAAGACGAGGGCGGGCTGCGGATGGCGAAAAGGGGGGGGGATGCGCGGGCGTCCTGCGGTCCCGAAAGACGAGGCGACGACTGAGAACGACGATGGCGGGCTGCGGATGGCATATGAGTGGGGAACGGTGCATCGCGGGCGTCCTGCAGTCCTGGGGCGACGACGACGACCACCACCACCACCAACACCACCACGACGACCACCACGGCGGACTGCGGATGACATACGGAAAACGTACGGGGGCTGCGCGGGCGTCATGCACTCCCGAAGGACGAGACGACAGCGAAGACGACGGCGACCTGCGATGGCATATGGGGGGGTGGTGTTTCGTGGGCGCCACGCATTCCCCACAGGACGATACGACGACGGCGTGCGACGACGGCGGAGTGCGGTTTGCATTTGGGCGGGGAAGGGTACTGCACGGGCGTCCTGCAGTCCTGGGGAGACGACGGACGACGACGACAGCGAAGACGACGACGACCACCACGGCAGACTGCGGATGGCATGTCAGACTGGGCGGGGGGAGGTGCTGCGTGGGCGCCGTGCAGCCCCGAAGGACGACGACGACAGCGAAGACGACGGCGGACTGCGGTTGGCATACGGGGCGCGGGGGCTGCGCGGGCGTGCTGCAATCCCGAAAAAACGACGACAGCGAAGACGACGGCGGACTGCGGATGGCAGCTAAGGGGGGGGGTGCTGCGTGGGCGTCCTGCAGCCCCGCAGGACGAGACGACAACGGACGACGAAGGAGGACTGCGGATGGCAAAAGCAGAGGGGGCGTTGCGTGGGCGTCCTCTTGCAACCCCGAAAAACGAGACGACAGCGAAGACGACCGCAGACTGCGGATGGCATACAGGCGGGGGAGGGCGCTGCGCGGGAGTCCTGCCTGGACGACGACGACGACGCGACGGGATAACGACCGACGGGACGACGACGGCCAACGCGACGCTCAAAAAATCCGCGCCCCCCCCAAATTTGATTCGTGAGCCCTACACAACACGAGGGCGACCCCCCCAAACGGGGCGGGAGTGTGTTTGAAATCGCCCCACCCCCATTACACATGTGCACCACGCGGATAAATTGCCAGCGGCCTCCAAGGCCAAGGGGGGCGCCGACGACGGCCCAGCTCCATGTCGAGGAGGCGACCGCCACAGCCTGCCGCACGACTATCCACATGGCCACGCGGTAGACAGAAGGGCCCCCGCTTTCGCCAGGCGGTGGCGCAGCCCCAGGCTCACCCAAGTCTTGTGTTGCATTTTCGGGAGGCCTTGTCTGTCCCTTCGCGTCCATGATCTGCGTCGCATCTGTGCCGAATCCGCGCCGAATCCATGTCGCGCCTGTCGAATCCACATCCAATCCGCGTCGACTCCACGCCAAATCCACGCTGGGTCCGCATCGAAGCCGCGCCGCGCACTGGAAAAGACACCAGCTTGGGGCAGAGACGAGGCCCCCGGAAGATGCCATGAAACACATCCTCTGCGAGCCCCGCCTCGCCCGCCAACGACGGCGCGGGCGGTTGCGGAGAGCCCCCCAGAAAGCGGCGCCCACACTCGCTGCTCGCGGCCAAGCTGTTGCGATAGCGTTCTGACGCCCCGTTCAAATAGGTCCTGTCTCGACGATAATGCCCTCGCTTCAGGGCGCATGCCGTCCATCTCGGTAGCCGCGTTGCTCCATCTGCGTCTTCGACTCTTTCCGGCCGCCAGGGCGCCGCGGGGCAGCCGCAAGTCCAGCGCCGGCGCGCCCCGGATGGCCCCGTGGCCCAGGGGCCGCCTCTGGAGGAACCACTGGCCCAAACGCACTGGAAGCCGCTCGCGCCGGGCCTGCGCGGCGGGGCTCACGGTCTCCCCCCGCGGCGGTCCCCCCCCGCGGCAAGACGGGCTGCCGAGCTCGCGCCTCGGCCCGGGGCGGCCCGCCGCCTTCCCCAGCGCGCCGCGGAAGGAGGCGAGCCAGCAGCCCCCGCGACCCAGGGGGCGCCCGCTTCCGCGGAAACCAAGCCCCGCCGCCGCCAGGCGCAGGGCCTCCGCGGGGATCGCGGCTCCCCGCGCGCGCAACTCGCCATCGGTCGGACGCCCGTGCCCCGCGCATTTCTCGACTTCGCGCGCGCTGTTAGCAGCTGGCGGGGGCGCCCCGACCAGGCCGGCCCGCGGGCGCTCGGGGGCGCGGCCAACAGGCGGGCCTCGAGGCGGCATCCCCCCGCACAAACCGCCGGCCAGGCGGCGGGCAGCAGCGGCGCTCCCACGAGGCGACGAATGGCGGCCACTGGGGCCGTCGCACGGGGCGCGGCGAGGCCCAGCATGATCCCCAAGGCGATGCGGTCTTCCAGCCACATTGCAAGGAATTGAACACCTTCGCGGACCTCCCGGAGCATGGTCTATCCGATCCTTATCCCCACTGGCGTGGCCCGGGCCCCACTGGGCGACTTACCCCCCTAGATGGGGACACAGGCTGTTCCATTCGAGCTTCGAGGGGCCAATTCCCGAATGCGGCGGTGGCGCGGTGGGGCTGAGATTCCAAGGCCTCGTGGGATAGGTCTGGCGACGCCGACCCCCAGCCCCGCGCCAGGTCGTCGGCCGCGCCGAGGAGGGCCGCGCCGAAAAGCTAGGACGGACACGCGCCAGCGCCGATCAGGGCGCCACCGACTGCAAGGGAGGGCGACCGCCCTCTGGCCATCGAACCCACGGCGGCACGCGAGCCTGCGATCCCCACGACACAGTGCCCAAGGGAATGGGTCACGTGCTCAAGCCAACGCGTTAAGGTCTCTCCCCATGGCCTCGACGCAGCCCGGCCCCGCCCACTGCCGGCCCCGATGGCAGCGACGGGAGGGCTCCAGGAGTTCGTCCACGACGTCGCGCTCCGAGCCCACGGGCGAACTGAACTGCTCGTCGCCCTCCAGCCGTAGCCCCCGTACGCCATCGGCGAAGCAAGCTGCCACGCCACGGCAGAGGCCCGGGGGGCATCGTGATATCAGTCGGGACATATGGGAGCCATCGACGACCCGACGCTCGTGGAATCCAGGAGAAGGCCGTCGCACGAGCCCCTTCTCGAACACCACCAGACAGAAATGGAACTCCTCCTTGATGAAGTAGCTAGACAGGGCCAAGCCCTCAGTCACACAAGGACGCGACATCAGTCGCCCAAACTCTGGCAGGTGGGCCATCCTCGACAGCCGCGGCTGCTCCAGCAATGCGCAGGCGCCTGGCGTCGCGCCATCAGCAAGCACCTCGCCGCGAGCGAGTTCCAAACGAGCACCTTCTTGAGGTGGCGGCACCAGGGAAAACCCGACGGTGCAAAGTAGGACCGAACCGCTGGATGGGCAAAGATCGACACCAAGGCGCATGAAGGCTCCAAGGAGATCGCTAGCAAACGGCGGCTGAAAAAAAGCACCCAGCAAACCGATTCGAGAACTTGGACGCTCCTGAAATCGCAGCGTCTCGAACAATATATATATATATATATATATATATATATATATATATCCAGGGCGCGCCCGACAACGAGACCGAAATCCGAGAGAGCGGCGGAGAGCCACCAGAACAGAAGCCAACCTCGAGCACTTCGTAGTTGAACGCCAGCTCGCGGAGCGGGCTCTCAACGTTCGCCAACGCCCCATCGGCGAAGAAATCGAGCTCCGCGGCGGCTTCGAAGGCGCCCCACTCCCGCACCTTCGCCCGCGCACCTGAACCGAGCGTGCTAGTTTCTCTCCTCAACGCAAGCAGCTGCCAACAATGCTCCAATGCGAATCGTGCTCAAGCCAACCGCTGATGTGCCATAGTTGCCTCCAGATGCGCGCACGGCAGGCACCGTGGTTGGCCACGCGTGGTGTGACTTCATTTCTCCGAGTAGCATTGCACGTCTCCTGCTGTCCATATAGTGGTCTCGCCAGTCCACTGGAACCGCCGACATCCCCACCGCCTGGCCCGAGCTTGCTGCACCGCCCCTCCGCTCGCCATGTCGCCAGAGTGCCCGCGCCGCCGTGGGCGAAGCCGCGGCCGAGGCCTAACGCCCCTGCAATTGGGGACGCCTCCGCCGCTCACAGCGGACTCGCCCGCGGGGCCACGATGTCGCTGACGCCGCTGATCGAAGCGGAGGCTTCTCAGAAAGAGGCTGCGTCCTAGAAGGCGCCAGCCGTACATCTATCGATAAGGCCAGCGCATTCTAAGAAGCCAGGGTGCTTTTAAGAAGCCTTCCCCCCTCCCCCCACCCCCCTTCTGCGCGTGGCTGAAACATGGCGGAGAGGACCAGCTCGTTCGCGGGCATGGTGAAGGCTGCCCACCTGGTTCGGCCCCGCGGCCACGGGCACGACCTGCGCGGCATCATTGCGAGGGCTGCAAACTAGGTTCGGCGCGAAACCGTCAGCCTCCCTGCAACGCGCGCTCGGTGCTCGGGCAAACTTCGCGCGTCGCTTCTGCGCTCCGCTCTGCCGCTTCTTTGGTGGCGTCGAGGGCCTCCAAAATTGCTCACAAGTGCCGCGGTAAAGTGTCCCCATCCTCTGCGTTTTGCCGTTGCCCAGGGCCCTCTTGCCTCTTGCCCGTCCTCCGTGTCGGCCCAGCTCTTGAGCCGCAGGGAGGGTGCAAGCGCGCCATCCCCTCAGGCCTCGGCCACGACCGACACGACCTGGAACGTCGCGAAGGCATGCCCTTCAACATCTCGGCACCCACCTCCGCCGACGCCTCGGCGTGAGCAGCGGCCGTGGTCGCGACCTGGGGCTTCGCAGAGGTCGGGTCCGTGGCTTCGACCGACAACTTCACAGCACTCACGCCCTGCATTGCCTGCGCCTTCGCGTGCGCCCCCGCCTCGGCCTGGAAGGTCGGGAGGGGGGACAGAGCACCAAACTCCCGCTCGAACTCCACCTGCTGGCCCATGCACTGGGTCCATGACAGGCAGCCCACGGCATCGCTGCATGGCCTGAGCCACGGCCCCCGTCGCAAGCTGAGACTTCGCCAAGGTCGTGCCCTGAACCGCCTTGGCTCGGCTGGGTGGCAATGGGGGGTGATCCAGTTGGGGGATGAAGAAAAGGGCACTTCTCTTCATCCCCCCATTGGGGTCAACCCCCCATTACCACCCGCCCGAATCACCTTGGCCGCCTCCTCCGATGCCGTGCCGGCCTCGTCAGCGACCTGGGCAGTCTGGGCTCTCGCCGACGGGCTGTCCCTCATCACCTCGGCCTCCAGTGCTGTCAAAGCGCGTACGAAGGATGCGCGGCAGGGATGCAAAAGCCTTGCAAGGCCACGTTGACATTTTCGGAAGGGGGCCAGCCAGCGAAAGTCGACAAGGATGGACCGAAGGGGGCAAGCATGCAAGGGAAGCCTTGGACAGTTGCTCATGCTTGCGGTGCGCTTTGACTGCGCTATCGCTCGCTCTGACCGAGCCGCAGCAGCTGGTCTCGACCTGGAGGTTCGCACCGATGCTGCATCCACGCCATCAGGGGCGCGAGCTCGGCCGCAGTGCTAGGACGTGCCAGCCCAGGACACACACGCGCGGGGAGGAAGAGAGGGTCTCACGCGTTGGGCAGGCCGTATCAAAATATATGAGGAGGGGATAAAAGGGGATGTATAGCCGACCGTTCTAAACACTTGTAGGTGCGAGTGACGGAGGGAAGCGGAGGCGAATGGAGGCGCAAAGGCAGTCGCGGCGGGAGGAGGATGGGGCGCGGGGGTAGGGGAGACCGTGCTCAAAGCATGCAGTCCCTGTGCGCGAGTGGATCGTTCTGAACACAGACTGGCCGAGACAATATAGCTACGGAAGGAGGGGCATGGGCCGACGCGGGACCGGAGCAGGGACGGGAAGGAGGGAGGAAGGAGGACGAATAATATTGGGATGAGAGAAGGAACGGTCAGGGTTGGATGGGGCAGACAGACCCGCTCACCACCGCCCCCGTGCCCCGATCTTGCGCGTGAGTGCACCGTGCGATCTGGCCAGGAGATGGTGCCGAGCCGAAGGACGACAGGCCACTACGAATCGACGCGCACGAGACCAACAAATCCGAAAGAGGCGGCCGTGGCGGCACCAGCGGCGACAGCGAATAACGACGGTGAGGTTGAGCACGAGGCAGGAGACGGAGAAGGGATAGAGGGAGCAGGGGGACAAGGAACAGGACCGAGAGAAGGAAGAGGAGAAAGAGGAGGAGGAGGAGGAGGAGGAGGAGGAGGAGGAAAGGAGGAGGAGGAGGGGGAGGGGGGACGAGGGGGAGGAGGGGGGAGGAGGGGAAGGGAGAGGAAGAGGAGGAGAGGAGGAGGAGGAGGACGAGGAGGGGGAGGAGGAGGAGGAGGAGGAGGAGGAGGAGGAGGGGAGGAGGAGGAGAGGAGGAGAGGAAAGAGGAAAGAGGAAGAGGAGGAGGAGGAGGAGGAGGAGGAGGAGGAGGAGGAGCAGCTGCAATGCGAGCTGTCGTCGCGGAGCCCCGGGTCCTCCACGCGCCACACCTTCTGCAGGATGTCGTCCTGCCGGGCCCCGCTGCCGCCGCGGCACTCGCTGTCGTGCTGCGGAGGTGGGCGTACAGGGGACCAACCCCAGAAGGAGGGCGAGTTGAGACAACTCGGGGGCCCCCAAACGGGGTGGTGACCACACCGTGTCGTGAGTCGATGGGGATTCTGGGTCAAGGCACGGTTTTGGGACTCGGGTCGTTCGTTCTCCGAGGACGTCTCGGGCGACTGGGGTCTCCGAGGTCCCAAGACCGTGCGGTGACGGACCGTGCGGCGATGCCTTGGGGGATTTCGAGGTCACCGCCCGGCCTGTCGTCGCACCGTTCCAGGACTCCAAAGCAAACGGCAGCTCAGAATCGGCCCCCGGACCCCTCCCGGGGCCCAGACGCACCAGGTTTCGCAGCCGTGGCGACGAGGGCCACCCCTCCCGAAGGCCAACTGCCGTTGTCTCAACTCGCTTGCCTCCGAAACCCGTGCACACGTCCGATCTCAAGCCTGTTCGCCTTTGGTTCAGGGTGGGCTAGCGATACAGCCTGGCGTTGCAAAAAACGCACACGAGGACACACCTTGGACGTCGGCGGCGGTTTCGTAGGGGCGAGCGCGAGGCTCTGGGGCTACGCAGAAAAACAGTGACAGTGTGTTGCCGCGGCATCCCGCAGACCGCGCGTCCTGGCCGAGCATCCCGCCGGCGCTCGGGTGCACCCGTGCCGGATCGCGCCCCGCCCGTTTGCACGCGCCGCCGGAAGAGGGCGAGTGCTCCCTGCTCACCAGCGTGCACTCAAAGGAGCAAGGTGGACTCCCTCCTACTCCTCCCCCTCCGTCTTCTTCTCCTTCTTCTTCTTCTCCTCCTCCTCCTCCTCCTCCTCCTCCTCCTCCTCCTCCTTCCCTTCCTCCTTCTTCTTCTTCTTCTTCTCCTCCTCCTCCTCCTCCTCCTCCTCCTCCTCCTCCTCCTCCTCCTCCTCCTGCACATCCTCCTTCCGTCCGCGTCCAGGCCGTTGCCGCGGCGCCCTCCTTCCCCCTCGAGCGGCGAGAAGAAAGCGAGCGGAAGCATGGGCGCGGCCAACGCCAGGCAGCCCAGCAGCCCTCCCCTGACATCCTCGCGTCGCGAAACAGAGCACGGCGTCAGAGGTTTTGTTGGCAATGCTCGGCCTCCTGGTGCACACAAAACTGCTCGGGAAGAGAATCCAGCCCCCGGAAAGATGTCAAGACCTCTGTGGGGCCACGTAGCGGAAAAAAACATGACGTCGGATGTCTAGGTCTGGACGGCGGTGGTTTCGAACAAGGTTTCTTCCGTCTTCCGAAGCCCCCTTCTTCCCCACTCGGGGAGGCCAGGGCTTCCCGAGGAATCAGAGGATGGATGGCTTCGAAATGGGCCCAGATAGCCCAACATGCGCCTCCTGTAGTGTGCACGATGGCCCAATTTAGTTCAAGATGCCTCCAGCATGGCTCCAAGCCATTGAAGAGAGCCAAAAAACGGTCCGAGGTGGTCACGGAGCTACCCAAGGATCCCCCTGAGAACCCCAAATCATTCAAAACCCGATTGTCCCCCAGCTGCTGCTGCTCTCTCGCCTTTTCGCTTCCAGTGGGCTTTGAAGCCTCATGATGGCTCCAATATCGTCCGAGAGGTCTCCAAGAGAGGCTCAGAAGTGCCCCGCAACAACTCCACCGGCCACCAAGAGCACCGCAAGAGCACGCCAAAGGGGGCGCCGAGAGGCAATATCCAGGGCTCCAGAAAGTGGGCCCGAACTTTCTTGGGACCCTCTTCTGTTGAACCCATGTCGCCTGGATCGGCACTGGAGGGCCACGCAGGCCCCGAAGACGGCCCCAAGAGAGCCCCAAGATGGCCCCACGGCCCTCCAGGTACAAACGATCCAAGAGAACCCCAAGATGGCCCCAACAAGCCTCCAAGAGGGAGGAGGAGGAGGAGGAGGAGGAGGAGGAGGAGGAGGAGGAGGAGGAGGAGGATGAGGAGGAGGGGGAGGAGGAGGGGGAGGAGGAGGAGCGCAGGAGGAGGGACAAGCAGGAGGACAGGGAAGAGATGGGATGAGAAAGAGTCAGGATCGCCAGATGCACGGCACGCCTTGTCTAAAGTACCAAACAACGGCATCAACATAATTTCTCTGAGGTTCGCCAGCCCTCTGGACATAGGTGGTTTAACGAACGTTGTCCTCTCTCTGCGAAGCTCCCTTCTTCCCCTGCTCGGGGGAGGGGTTATCAGTGTTCCCGATAGATATACACCCCCTCCCACAGGCGACCGGCAGCCAACCAGGAACAACGGGGACCCCATGAGGACCCCCCCACCACCATCCCTGTCAAAAAAAAATACAATACGCACTCTGCCTCCACATTTGGAGCATGCGCGGCCAACCCGATGCGGCCCCCCGCCCCACCATCCCTGTCAAAAAACCATGCAAGAAACAATTTGGGACAAAATGTTGAGTCATGTCCACGAGGCCCGCGACCACTTGGTATTGTTTTTGTCAAGGGCGGCGGGGGTCAGCATGTTGCCTGCTGCGCGCAGGGATACCATCCCTGACAAAAACAATACACAATGCACCTCGCGGCTAAATCTGGATCACGCGCGGCCACCCCGCGATCACTGTCAAGGTGTTTTTGACAGGGACGGCGGGGTGATGGCGTATGGCCTGCTGTGCGCAGGCCCACCAGACACAATGATGGGCACTGGCTTTCCGACAAGGATGATGGGGGCTCCCGATGTGTGCTGTCACGTGCGCAGGCGCCCCTGACAAACGCTGCACGTGCCCCGAACGTGGTGCACCTGGCGCGGCTAGAGTATGCGGCACACCCGGCGCGCGCGGAGCACGTGGCGCATCTGGCGCACCAGGCGTGACTGGCACGCTTGGGCCCCCCGGGGGTGCCTGGCGCGCGTGGCACGCCTGGCACGCGTGGCGCACCTCGCCCAAGCGTCGCGCGCATGGGGTCGGGGGTGTTACATATATGATTGGAGGGCGGGTGGGAGTGAGCTGCACGGCTTGCTATCTAGGAGGATGTCTTGACAGCTCCCCCTACCCCCTCCCCTGGGCCTGCAAAGGGGTGGGCCGCAGGTAGTTCGAGTGCCCAAAATGGCACAAGATGGCTCCAAGAGGGCCTCAGAGAGGTCAAGATGGCCTCCTGTGGATCAAGATACCTCGAGATGGTTCAAGATAACCTCCGACACACGTCCAAGAGGCCTCAAGACGGCCCCAAGACAGTGTCAAGTGCCCTCCGAGCCCAAGGATCCACCTAAGAGGCCCCCCCAAAAAAAAAATCCAGGCGAAGGACCCAACCATATGCATTTGTGGGCTCCGCAATTTCGAAGATCTTCTTCGGAGAAGCTCCCAATGGGGCCACGAAACGCTGCACTGGGTGGGGGGAGCGCATGCGGGCGGTAGCACTGGGGCCGCCTGTGGAGCTCCCTATGGGGCCACGAAACGCTGTACTGGGCGGGTGAAAAAACCAAATTGGGCTTCCGGGGCGCGTGCGGACGGTCCCACAGGGGGCTTCGGTGGAGCTCCCTATGGGACCACGAAGCGCTATGCTGGATGTGCAAAAATGCCAAATTAGGCTTCCGGGGCGCATGCGGACGGTCCCACTGGGGGCTTCGGTGGAGCTCCCTATGGGACCACGAAACGTTGTACTGGGTGGGTGAAACTGCCAAATTGGGGGGGGGTGGGACGCACGTGGGCGGTCCCTCTGGGAGCTTCGGTGGAGCTCTCTATGGGGCCACGAAGCGCTGTACTGGGTAGGTGAAAATGTCAAACTGCGCATGCGGGACGCATGCGGGCGGTCCACCTGGGGGCTTCGGTGGAGCTCCCTATGGGGCCAAGAAACGGCGTACTGGGTGGGTGAAACTACCAAATTGGGTATGCGGCGGTCGGTCCCAGTGGCCAAGAAACGCTGCACTGACTGTGGCGGACGCATGTGGCCACCCCTACTGGGGCCTCCGATGGAGCTCCCTATGGGGCCACGAAACGCCGTACTGGGTGTGGCGGACGCATGTGGCTACCCCCACTGGGGCCTTCGGTGCAGTTCCGTATGGGGCCACGACACGCTGTACTGGGTGTGGCGGACGCATGTGGCCACCCCCACTGGGGCCTTCGGTGCAGCTCCCTATGGGGCCACGAAACGCCGTACTGGGTGTGGCAGACGCATGCGGGACACCCCACTGGAGCCTTCGGCGCAGCTCCCTATGGGGCCACGAAGCGCTGTACTGGGTGTGGCGGACGCATGTGGTACATCCCATTGGGGCCTTAGGTGGAGCTCCCTATGGGGCCACGAAACGCCGTACTGGGTGTGGCAGACGCATGTTGGACACCCCACTGGGGCCTTCGGTGGAGCTCCCTATGGGGCCACGAAACGCCGTACTGGGTGTGGCGGACGCATGTGGTAAATCCCACTGGGGCCTTAGGTGGGGCTCCCTATGGGGCCACGAAGCGCCGTACTGGGTGTGGCGGACGCGTGTGGTATACCCCACTGCGGGGGGGGGCACGGGAGGAGGAGACGCGGGGACCGTTTCTTCAAAACGAGGACCCAACATCACAGGATGATTTGGAAAAACATGGAAAATCAATGTTGTTCGCTCTCTCGCCTTTTCGCTTCCGATGTGCTCTTCAAGCCTCACGATGGGCTCTTTAGGCCTCGAGATGGCCCCAAGACGAACCGGGAGAGCCCCAAGAGGGGCCCAGGAGGGCCCCAAGAGGGCCCCAAGAGCGCCCAAGACCACCCCAACAGCGCCCCAAGAGGGCCTCCTGACATAATGTTTCAGCCTCCGAAGGGGGGGCTGAATTCATTACCCCCCCTTTTTGAGCCACGGGGCCCAAGGCGGCCCCAAGAGACGACCTCCCAGACCCCCTCAAAAAGCCCCAAGATGGCCCCAGGAAAACCCAAGAAAGAGCTCCAAAAGGGCTTCAAGAGTGCCCCAAGAGGCTCCGCGAGGACCCTCGGTAAGCCCCAAGATGGCTCCAAGAGACCTCCGACAAAACGCACGCTTCCAAGACAGCTGTCGCACTGCATGCTTCTACATTGCCCTGATCACGGCAACTCGCCTGGCGATCTGTTTCTGGATGGGTTGGTGGGGATACTCTTTTGGTCGCGGGCGGACGCGTGAAGCTGTCGCCGAGAGGGGGGTCTGGGGCACGGGCCAGCCGAATTAGCTACTGAGCGACGCGCAAGACGGCCGGGCCAGCACTCAGAAGCGGCGGCTGAGGGGCTGCTGCTGGTGGAACTGGCTGGGTGGTCTGCAACGCCCCGGGAAGCTGATGCAACTTGCAGGCCTGAGGCACAAGGATGCCAAAGATGGAATTAGGTCCTGCACGCCAGGAACGCTTGATCCCCTCTGTACCAGCGACCACGCATCACACTGGCGAGGGCGCTTCCACTGCAGGAAAACCAGAAAGCGGTGCGCCACCAGGAACGGAGAGCTGGAAGCCACGCATTCGAGCTCAGGCACCGTGGCCAGGAGTGACCAGGTACAGACTGACCATGTCGCCGCAGGGCGCCAAGGGCCAGGGCCGCGGCAGCGGCGCGGAACATGCCAAGTAGGCGGGGACAGGCGCCGGGGAAGCACGGTGTCCGCTGGAAGGCTGCACCACTCCGCGGCACATCTCGTAAACCCTGAGATCGACGCCAGTCCCGAGCAGCGAAGGGCTGGTGGGGATACGCGCAGCGTCGAGAATTTGTCTGAGGTTCGCACGGGTTTCGTGGATCGGCACGGGATCCCATCTCCCTGGCGCGCGGAGTGCGCCTGGGGCGGCACCGGAGGTGCCGCCAGGGGGGCCAGCGCCGATCCGCGGAATCCGTGCGGAGCTCCGACAGTGATGCTTTTCTTCTTCGAGACAGGGAAGAGAAGGGAGGAGGAGGAGCCAGGATCGCCAGATTCGCGGCACGCCTTGTCCTCCTCCCGCGCGACGAGCGAACAACACACACCCATACTAGAGGCCTCCTAGATGGAGTCGGAGTAGGTGGGATCGGAAGATCGCGGCGCATCGCCGATACATCGACAATGCATCGGCGATGCATCGGCGATGCATCGGCGATGCACCAGGGATGCATAGTCGACGTCGGCGATGCATCGGCGACGTCGACGTGAAGCAAATCGCACTCCACGTCGAGCCGCATCGGCGATGCGACGCAATTCTCCGACCCCATCTACAGTTGAAATAGATAGTAAGGACGGGCGGTAAGGACACAAAAGCCTTGGACGCCGAACTTGGAACTCGTTGGGCGGTGGACTGCCAACACCCTGAAGGGCTGGCCAGTAAAACCGCGCAGGATGGGCCGCAGAGGCAAGGACGCAAGGGTACCCTGAGGACATCCGCGCGTCCTTACTAGGAGTTTTACCTGCGCTCCGACCCCATCTGGGAGGCCTAGAATCATACCCATAGGGACGGGGGGCGGAGAGGGCTGTGGGCGCATGTCGGCGGACGGGGCAGCCCAGGCAATACAGGCCGGGCGGAGGAGGAGGAGGAGGAGGAGGAGGAGGAGGAGGAGAAGGAGGAGGCGGAGGAGGAGGAGGAGAGGAGAAGGAGGAGGCGGAGGAGGGGAGGAGAGAAGGAGGAGCGGAGGGGAATAGGCGGAGGAGGAGGAGGGGGAGGCGGAGGAGGAGGAACGGGGAGGAGGAGGAGGAGGAGGAGGAGGAGGAGGAGGAGGAGGGGAGGAAGGAGGAGGAGGAGGAGGGGGGGGGAGGTGGAGGCGGAGGGAGGAGGAGGCGGAGGAGGGGGAGGAGGAGGAGGGGAGGCGGAGGGGAGGAGGAGGAGGAGGAGGAGGAGGAGGAGGGGGAGGAGGGGGAGGGGGGAGGGCCCCCAGCATCAGACCCATGGGGGGGGGGGGCGGAGAGGGCCGTGGGTGCGTGGCGGCGGACGGGGGCCCCTGCTCCAACGGGAGCCTCCCGCGGGGCCGACGACCCGCACCCCTGCCCGCAGGCAGCCCTCCCCCCGCCGATCCCCCCCGCGCGGGTGTTCGGCAGCGCGCACGGGCGGGGACGGCGAGAGGGGGCGGGCCTTCTCAGGAGGAGGAGGAGGAAGGAGGAAGGAGAAATGAGGAGGAGAGGAGGACGAGGAGGAGGAGGAGGAGTGAGGAAGGAAGGAGAAGGCGGAAGGAGAAGGAAGGAGGAGGAGGGGGAAGGAGGAAGGAGGAAGGAGGAAGGAGGAGGAAGGAGGAGGAAGGAGGAGGAAGGAGTAGAAGAAGGAAGGAGGAGGAGGAGGAGGTAGGAGGAAGGAGGAGGAAGGAGAAGGAGGGAGGAGGAAGCGGAGAAGGAGGAGGAGGAAGGAGGAAGGAGGAGGAGGGAGGAGGGAGGAGGGAGGAGGGAGGGAGGAGGAGGAGGAGGAGGAGAGGGAGGAGAGGAGGAGGAGGAGTAGGAGGATGAGGAGGAGGAGGAGGAGGAGGAGGAGGGGGGCCTCGGGCCTTGGAGACGTTTACTAAGCCCCCCCCCCCGAGGACACGGCAAACTTCTCAGAAGGCCAGAGGGGCCTCTGAGGAGCCCCCGCCGCCCTTGGGAGAAGGCCTTCTCCCCTCACCCCCCCCCCGCTCGCCGCCGAGGTATTAGAAGAGGAAAAAAGCCGTAGACATCAACGTTTGGCGCTCCACGCGGATTCCTTGGATCTGCGCTGGACCCCCCTTCCTGGAGCGCGGAGCGCGCCAGGGGCGGCTCCGGAGGCGCCGCCGGGGGGGGGGGGGGGCCCAGCGCGGATCCGAGAAATCCGCGCGGAGCGCCAAAAGTGTATGTTTACGGCGTTTGTTCCTTCTTCAAGGTATGGGCGTGTGTTGTCCGTTCGTCATCCCACGCTCACTTCTCCGGCATCTCGAACTCGCCATCGTCGACCATCTGCGTCAGAGTGGCGGGCGCCGTGCCGTCCACCGTGCAGCCAACGGCCCGGCAGCTGCCAAGCACCTCCTCTGCAACAGGGGGCCCAGGGAGGCACAAACAGATCGGCACACATTACAGGATTCCCCCCAGTTTTCCATATCTCCTAGAGTTTCGTCTTCCCCTCCACTTTCCATGTCTTCGCATAGTTCCATGGGAATCGACATCTAAGTGTGTCTGTGTCTGTATGTTCCCCTCCTGACTCCTTGAGGGTGCCAGAGAACTCCTTGGCCTGGCTCTTCTCCCTCATCTGCCTCACGATGTCGAATATCTGCTGCTTGGTCAGGTTCCCGGAGTGCTTGATGTTCTTGGTCTTCTTGCGGTCGCGCAGGGGCTCCTTCAGGCTCTTGATGATGAGGCTCGTCGCGTTCGGTTCCACGTCGACCTTCGCCGCGCGGTTCTGGATCGTCAGCCTGACCGTCACGCGGATGCCCTTCCACTGCGAGGTGCCCTTCACGATGTCGTCCCCGATCTTCTTGGGAGACATCCCCAGGGGTCCCACCTTCTTGAGCAGGGACCGACCGTCCCGGCATTTATATAGTGCTACCACGAAATGTTCTTAGAAACCAAACATGTTATAAGAACAAAGACAGTGTCCTTAGAACATAGACCCGATGTGATAAAACAAGACAGGTTCCGCCAGAAATGTTCTAAGAACATTTCGTGGAAACCACAAAAGGTTCTTAGAACATTGTTTGGTATTGCTATTGGCGAGCCATGACGCTTCGCCACTGCTTGACCTTCGGAGCGAGCACAGACGATGGCGCCTGCTCGCCGCCATACTGCCGGAGCTTCACAATCTTGACCTCGTTGGGATCGAACTTGGGCGCCATGGCAAGCGGTGCAGGAGGCGAGCCGGGCCTGCGAGGGAGGCCTGCCGAGCTGGCTGGGTCGGGGCGCTGTCTCGAGCCCTTGAGCCAAAATGGCTGCGGAAGCAGGGAGGAGAGAGAGGGGCAGCAGGAGCAGCGGGCAAAGGGGGGCGAAGGACAAGGCGAGCGCGCGGGGTTGGTCCGATCAGACCGGCCCTGAGAGGGCAGGGCGGGTGGCTGGAGCCCGCAGGGGTCGGCCTGGAGCTTTCTGTCAGTAACGGAGAGCTCTGCAATGCCGGAGGCCAGATCTACTGCATGTGTATGCAGGCACGGCCCGGCTGGAAGGACGGGCAGCTCTGGCAGCCGGAGGCGGAAACGGTGGAGCCAGAATCGGAGAAAGCATCGGCGGAAGAGTTCTATCTGCCGACTTGGTCGCAGGACGTTGCGCCGCGTCAGCCACCGCCGCCGGAACCAGAACCAACAGATGTAGGGAACCCATGAGGAAAAACATCAGCGGCCCCCATCAACCCTGGCGTCCAGCCACCGCGATTGGGGCGCCTACGTAGACCGCGCGCACGCGGTACACGTGGGGCCAGGCAGCCCCGGCAGACGCAGACTGACCCGGACAGCCCAGCCGCCCTGCCCACAGAAAGTCCCCACATCGCATCGGCGCATGGATTCGCCACATCCAAGGAGGCGGAAATCCATGCGCCGAAGTGGTCGGCAAATGGGGGAAAATCCATACAGGACGTCCGATGCTGATTACACTTGGAAGTGACGCCTTGCATGTTTTCCAAAGGAGGCGAAAGCAGCGCCCACGGCGCCTTGGGGGGCGCGCGAGTAATGATGCCCTCCGCGCCTTTTCGCAAGGAGCTTGACTCCTTCAAGGCCCGATCAAGGTTGGAAAAACCATGTTGGCGCATAGATCCTCCTCCCCAGAAAGAGGGCTATCCGAACCGCGGGGGAGGGAGGGAGTCCGAGACGGGAAATGAGAGCAAGAGGCGGAGGGATGAAGCAATGCTGGAGTCGGCAAAACGGGAACCGGAGCCAGAGAAAACGGGAGCCGGGGGTCGGAGAAGCAGGGGTGAAGGAAGCGTGGGGGGTGGGAGCTGGAGGCGGAGAAGCGAGAACAGGAATCAGCGAGAGAGCGGATCAAAAGTGAGAGGGATGAATGAGATGGAGGGGCGCCGATCCTGAAGGGGGACAACGACGACGACGACGACGACGACGACGACAACGACGACGCCGCCGCCGACGACGACGACGACGACGATGCCGTGCTTCTTGCCTCTATTCATGCCTTCCTCTCCCTTTGCCTCTCCCCCGCACCATCCCCTCCCAGGCTCCCGCTCCCATCCCTTCACACCAGAGTCCTGAAGGAAAGCCGAAGGCGGAAGTCGGATAAGGGAGGGGAGGGCAGAAGTGCTCAGGAGGGATTGTGAGACGGAAGGGGGAGGAGGAAGAGGAGGAGGAGGAGGAGAAGGAAGAGGAGGCCGGAGGAGGAGGAGAAGGAGGAGGAAAACGCAACAGGCATCACACCTAATGTGAGTCGAACGCTAGAAAGGAGGAGGAGGAGGAGGAGGAGGAGGGAAGAGGAGGGAGGAGAAGGGAGAAGGAGCATGAAAAAGGGCAAGGATACGTTCACCTGAGCTGGACGGGCCGCTTCTACGAAGGGGGCGGGCGCGCCAATGGCCTGACACAGGCGTCCTGGGAAGGTGAGGTGATCAGAGGAGCGGCAGGCCAACAGAAAGCCAGGTGATACGGGGGGGAGGTGAGTGTTCAGACGAAGCAGGGACGAGGACAGAATCAAGTGAGGAAAAATGGAGAATCTCTGAGATCTGGCGGCTCTGGAGGATGTATCGGGCGTTGCGGCCATCTCAGAGCGTTCTGGGACGCTCTGAGAGACTTCCAGAACGCTCTGGGACGGATTATCCTCGTCCTAGCCCCGCCCGACGACATGCAAAAGAAAACACATGGGGGAAAACCTGAGGGAAAACATGTCCAAAGAGATCACCTGGGGGAAAGCCTGAGGGAAATAACCGTACGGCGGGATGGCGGGTCAGACAAAACAAGCGCATGTGTCCTGCTCCAGAAACCCCGAACCCCAAAATGTTGCGCATCTCTTCCGCAGGCCTCATCATTCTTCCGCGGGCTTCCGCCGCCCCTCCGCCGCCCTCCGCCGAGGAAGCGATGACAATCCCTCCGATCCTCGAATGCGGGGCCCCGTTCTGGAAGGCCTCATGCGCGCCTGGGAGGGAGAGGGAGAAGCACCCACCACGTGCACTGCACAGGGATAGGCGTGCGGCAGGCGCCAGGGCGAGGGCGCTAGAGCGAACGACGGCCCGATATACCACGGCACGGAGCAGCACGGGGAGGGAGCCCGAGATCTTCGCACCCCATAGGTAGCAGTTTGCGGGGGCGGTGGGCTATCTGACCGAAAACGATCAGAGGGGAGAGGGTGGCACCCACGAGTAGCTACTTGGTGGGGATAGAGAGAGAGAGAGAGAGAGAGAGAGAGAGATGGAGAGGTAGGGATAAAGAAAGAGAGGGGAGAGGGGGCAGGGGGCAGGCTAGGTGCGCTCGCGCCACATCTGACATCCGATCCTTCCCGCCCATCCTTTCCCATAGCGCTGATTTGTGATCCATCAGCGAACGCGCATCATAGCCGACCTGGAACTCAAAAAGAGACCCCGTCGTATTTTGAACAACTGGAAAAAACATCCGCACATATAGGCGGAGGAGGGTGCGGGTGAGCAGGAGTATTGGGAAGACAGGAAGGACCATGAGGAAGGAGGACGAGGACGAACAGCAGCAGCAGGAGCTGGAGTGGAAGGAGCAGGAGGAGCAGGAGGACCAGGGGAAGGCGGAGAAGTGGAAATGAGGGGGGCGACGACGACGAAGAATGAATCGGATCCAGAAAAGTGGCCCGCGCTGGGGCGAGAGCGCCATTAACGACGGGAGCAAAGCGCCGATCCGAAAATAATGACCACGCTGCAGCGGGAGCACCATCTTGGAACGAAAGCAATCGGGCTGTACAAAAACACATAAGA